TTTCTTATAGTTTTTTCATTTGGTCTGTGTTAACATCAACTTAATAAGGTAACAAACGTCAGAAGACTCTAAAAATAGGAATACTTCACATGCTAAAACTATTAAAATAATGCATATTAATTATTATTAGCGTAAAGTGAGAAGTTAGTATCCAATAAAAAAAGGTCAGAGTTTTATTTTAATTTTATAAAAGTTTATAATATTTAATTACAGGAAGTATATTGTAAGTGTGTTTAGATCAAAGATACATTATAAACAATATTTTATTATAAATTTATGGTTTTGTAATTTGAGTTTTATTGTTTTTATATAATAATAAACACTTGTGTTTTTGTATAGTAGATTGTTTTAACTTTTATAATGTTACAAATATTAATAAAAAATGACTAAAATAATTTTAATTCAATTGCAAAAAAATTAGTTACTTGGAAAATTATAACATAGGTGTGGTCTATTATACCAAATAAATAAACAGTAGTAAGTTCGACAGGTGACCAAACTAAGCCCAAACAAAGAGGGAAGGGCTTAAACTAAATCGTAAATGAATCCACAGGCGCATGTTAAAAAATCTTTAAGAGTTTTCGATTAATAAACTAAGTAGTACCCCCCCCCCCCCTTAATTGCACCACATCATAGTAAAAATTTGCTATTCTTAAACCCATAACGATTATGGGCTGACCAACCGATCTTGTTTAGTATTGCGCTTACTTTGTGCAAATTCAGTGTAGGTATTGGGTATTGATACAAAACCCTGTGAATATTCAAGCGTGGTATTGTATGTAGTTTGTGATCAGTAATATGTATAGTTTTCTTTAATTTTTTATTTCCATTCGTTGCGCGTTTTCCCGGTACTCTCATAATTAATATGCTCCGCCATGCGAGAAAATGTTTGCTCTCGGGTTTTGCACTGACCAAGCAGAGAGCTCACACTACCTGTACTGCAATATGCCCTCCGAATCGGTCCACAGCAAACACACGGGCTAATTAATTGGACAGAAAATACCCCGTGCAAGCGATACAAGTTTATTGGCTCGATAAAGAGATGAAAAGTGTTGCCGTTCTAAGCAACTCGGCGCCAAGCGATCGTAAAACCACATGTGATCCTAAACCCAAACAATATTTGACGATGCTCAGATATTTACACGATTATCAAAATAATATAGAACCACTGGTGTACAAGATTTGATAGCTCTTACAAACGCTTTAAATGCACACTACGCGTTTTGGATCTAAGTAAAAATGCTCGACCATTTCCTAAGCCCTACATTTATCATCATGATATGACCTACTACGTTACTTTATTACTCAGAAAACATTCCGACTGAAATACCAAACTCTTGTTTGGCTTTTCTACAATACGCCATTACAATATACCACTGAACGGAATATTGTTTTTGTATCTTTTATAAAAAAAAAAAAAAAAAAACAACTGTTAAATTAATTAATTTTTTTAAACAAGTCATTGTTGGTAAAACTCTTTGTACAACGTTATTCCTTTTCTATGTTTGCAATTTTATAATTTATTATGAAAGAAAAACGTTCTAAATAACGTTTAACTTCCAAAACTGTTGCATCAAGTTTTTGTTATTCGACTCGGATGACAACTGGTTAAAGTAATTTTTAATATCCGTTCAGTTTAGCAAAGTTTAAATACTTTTGTTTTTTTCGACAAAATAGTATTTTTGTTTAAAACATTTTTATAATACTGAGTATTTATTGGCAATGAACAATATTCCCCTTACTATTAGATGACACAACACACGTATTGAACATTGCGAACTTAGAAAACACATATATTGGTTTGTTTAAGTATTGTACATACTGTAGAACAGCATTATTCTATTTGAATATAGTATTTGCTTAAAAATAGGTAACAGCCGGTTACATTTTAAAATTACAAGTTTGTGATCATATAACTAATGCTAGAGGGAGATTTTTTTTATACGTATTTTAAGAGTTAAGCGACTACAAATTAAATGAACATTCAGAGTATTATTGCAAGGTTTGAAATGAATTAAAAACGTACAAATTAGAAATCATAATTTACAAGCAAAATAATGAAAAAAACGGACGCATGATATAATTAGTTTATATTGATTGTTGTTGAAATCGGGTAGCTATATATGTTTAATCTATGGCCTAGCGTAATATAAAAACACATATCTAAATTACAGAATATTGCAGAATCCTAAACTATTAATATCAAGAAGGGACTAAATAAAATTAATATTAATTTGATAAATTCCAAATGAAAAGTCGAAGACTTTTTCTCAGTGAATACTGTGCTCCTTTGTGTATCCTGTGAGAGCCACAAAACTGACGACTAACAAAACTGGCACTAAATTCATCATTTACCGTACAAACAAATCTAAACATTGTCTATACACTTATCTATAAACATGAATGGCGATGAAATATTATAGCTATTTGGTGCATTCACGGATGTTTGTGAAATTATGTTTAATTGTATTACGTTATCATTATTGTTATTTAAAATGTGAATCCCAATTTCCATTAAAGCGACCCGATTACTGAGGTATTGTACTCAATTACAGGGACGTGGACGTTGTTTAGCTGTTGACCCTTTTTAAATTAAACATTTTTTCCCACTCTCCATAAATTAAGTGCAAACATGACAGTTATTTGGAAATCTCGAGGAAAATGTATATTTTAGTTTTTTTAGTAGTTATCCGTACGTTCTATAAATATTGTATTATATTTCAAAGTCATTTTTACTTTAATTAATTTTACCGCATTCAAAAGTATTTAATATTAAATGTAATTTATAAAAAAATCACATTTATATATTTTATTATCTCTACACATAATCTATCATGGATAGAGTTTGTTATTTCTTTCTTAAATAAACTTTAACTGCTTCCGAAATTAAAATTAACTTACTCGAAAAAATTAGTTTAAATAAGAACTCTAACCTAACTTATACATTAATAATATTAATGTAAAACAAATTATTATTTTTTATAAATATTCCTTTAAAAAGTAATTACGCTCTACAAAACAATTGGATAATTTGATTTGTATTATTTGCTAATGACATCGAGTAGTTTGTTTTGCTAGCCTATAGGATATGTTAGTTTCAATTGTTATACTACAATTCTCTATGAAATCAATCAAGTTCTATTTAATATAACTAATAACTATTTTAGCTTAATTAAATTTGAGATTCTGATAAAAAATCAGATTCCTTTGACAAATCTGATAAAATTAATAATGCTTAACAGTCTCTGTAATGTAGGAATCGATAACAATACAAAACACAAATAATGTATAGCTATTAAATTTAATTAACTAACACCGGGCTCAAACATTTTTTTTTTACCTTCCAATTTATAATAATGTATGATATGTATATAATTCGTATTAAGGTCACACCATTCGTTACTTTACTTTTTAATATGTATACTTATATATTTTTTTAATTTAATTTGTGTATTTTAAATGTCACTTTATTGTCTGTAACACAATTATAAAAAGCCGTTTGGCGTATATTACTAAAATAAAAATAAAATTAATCCTATATGTAAAAACCCTTTCGAAATATTGTGAACGTTTTATGATTTTATAATGTGTATTCTGAAAAATTCAGAGTATTGTTGGTTTTTGTTGAAGGTTTGCTTATGGTATACAATTAGTAAATTCTAAGAGTTCTTAGAATTAAAAAAACATAGATACTATAAAGCAAATAAATTAAAAAGCATATTAAAAAACATACTAAATTACAAACTGAAATTATTGCTATTCGGATATTGGCTATTATGCTCACATATAAATTGTACAAGTATGTAATATATTTGGTAAGCGTTCAATATACAAATAAGGCTAATACTTTTTTCCTAAGAAAACTTTTAAAAAATGTTTAATCAAGTTAATATTCTATCGATTTTTATACAAAACCTGAACACCAAACATTATAATTTTTAATTCCTAAAGCTATTGGAAAATTCTTTTACTGATACTTCTTAGAAAAATATTTCAAAGTTATACCCTTTTCGTTTTTCTAGCATTGTTTCAAAAAATTATCGGAAAATATAATGAAAGTATTACTTACCCATTGCAACACAAAATCCAACATATATATAATGCTTATAAAGTAATTAATATTCTATAAGCAAATAATTTTAATAATGTTCCTTAATAATTTTATGTCAATATTATGTTACCCTGTGTAATTCATCTAAATTATTTTTTCACGTCAGCTCTTAACAAAAACAAAATACATGTAAATATTTTGAATTCATTGGTATGAACCTTAAAAATTCCATAAATTCTTATAATTTTTAAACAATTTCCTATTGTTCAATATATTTTTCTTGAATACAAAAACTTTACATCAGTTTTAGGGAACTATCACCGATTTTTGGCCTTTTTTAAAAAATAAATTAAACAATGATACGTTTTAAAAAATAATATACTTAATTTTCACTTTATTTTAATTAATTATTTTTTTTATTATACGTACCCATATTTTTTTATATATTACATTTTTATAAATACAGAGTACTATAATAATATCGAGGAATAGGTTTAAAAAAAAAAATAGAAAAATGTGATATTTCTATTTTTGTTCTAAGATATTCATAATATAATCTAGATGATTTAAACAAAATTAGTATATACTAGTTATGAATTTTCATCGGAACACATCTTTTATCTCGACCAGAAAATATTTTGTTTAAATATCTAATATCTTATTTAGACAGCTAGTCAATTATCTTTGCCTAACACACAGTCGATGTCACTTGAACTTTGTCGGTTCTCGCTTCTCACAATTTTTCGGCGTTCTACGTAATAATGTACGCGACCCTCTTAACAGCTATAAAATTATAACATTGTACTACCGTTATAAAATAATAGAGTTTTCGCGGTAAGTGTTGTAATATTTATGGGACGTTCGTTTGATTCATACTAACGTTACCTGGCGGAGGGGTAATAATTTTACTACGATAATTGTGAAGCAAAAAAAAAAACGTGGTACTCACTTGCTGGTTGAATGCGGGTGCTTCTTATAAGGCAAACGGAGACCGTACTGAACACATGCTAGACACGAGGCGCCGACGAATGGGCCGCAGGTAACGCTGAATTTTGGGGCGCAAGCGCCGTCTGTCAACAAGTCACGCCGCCGCGCCTTATGCCCGCCCCGTAATCGTCGCTTGCCAAAAGTGCAAGTATCACAATATTTTATACCATACAATTCAAAGAATTCGACCACAATCACAACGTCGGTTCTATGATAAAATGTCAAAGTTCATAGCTTCAGCTTCAGTACTAACGTCAAATTATACAGGATGTTTCTTGACTCCTCGTTTTGTGGTACATTATTGAATAAGCAATTCACGTACATCAAAATTGTGTAGCAATTCATCGTTTACAAATGGCCTGATAATATTTATTAGCCTTGCACTGTACTGTAACTTCTACCCCGGCTTCCTATGCCACGAGTGTTGTGTTTAGTAATATTGCAAACGAAACACAATAGCAAAATAGGTCGAAATATTTTCAGAAAAAAGTCAGATGTAATGTTTTAAAAGCTTCACGTTTAATTACGATAAATTAATAATTATATAGTAAAACGATCATCTATTTTCCAAAGCTGAAAAATTGTACTTTTTTTAATAAGGGGAAGTGCGGTTGAGTCATATCTCAGAGAGTAGAGACTCTCCACCATTCCTACCACCCTTAATCTTAAACTTTATTAACTTTGAAACTTTAGTTATCGACCAGTCAACATATTCAGCAAATTATTCTTAATTTAAAAAGTTAATCAAATATATACGTTACCATTTAAAAATCTTAAGTTCATATGGTTTTAACTTATAAGAGATAGGGTTATATATATTTTTTAAATTTATTAAATTTGTCCCAACAAATAACTACAAAGGTACAAAAAAAAATTATTACAAAAAGGCTAATAATATCTTCTCAGTTATTGACTTGGCCACACTTAACCAATCACCTAGTATAATAGGGCAGTGCACATGGAGTACTTTTTGATTAGCTATTTTCCGGAATGGTCAAAGTAATTCTGAATTATTTTTATCTTCCTGTTGACAACATTTGTGGTATTATTACATTATTTAACACCTTTCGCACAATTCCATTGTTTCGTTGGATGTTTTTTTTATTTGTCCCCTTCATACCGTATGGTTTACTTGTAAAATGAGAAAGGACGAGCAACGTTAATTATAGATAGGAATGAGAGTTGTTACGCTTTGTTCATGTTGGTATATCCCCGGAGACTTTCTCGGCGAACTATAAACGTAAAATAAACTCGTTTTATGCAACTTTGAGCGGTAAAGGCCACTATGGCACTATCAGCTACCTATTCTTGTGTACCTTGGAGAATTTAAAGCTTGACAATTTTTTTCACTCTTTTCTGTTTATTCAATTGATTGTAACATTTTTAAATTATTTAAAGTACGGTTTCATGAGTAAGTTCGGTATTTGGAAAACATATTCAAATAATAAAAGTTGTTTATGTTTAGTAAGAAACTGTTTTTGTTTCTTTCGCTCATTTAACATTCTTTGTACGCCAATTATTATTTTATTTCTGAACTTAAGCAACACTCGTGGTATACCGTATGTATATAGTAAAGAAATAAAATATTTAAATAAACTCTTAACCACAAAAATAATACTAGCGTAGGTATACGTATTTCGACAGCAATGTTATCATCAGCGCTTACAACAGCCTGAACATCAAACTCGGTCTGTTTTATGCGCAGATGATCGTAATATTGTTGCCGAAATACGCTAATGAGTATTATTTTTATGGTTAAGGGTTTAATTTAATATTTTATTGTTTTATTTCTCTAGGAAAAAAATTATAATTTAGTAAAAATAAAATCTATTTTTTAAATTAGGAAATTTAAAATTTAATTTTTGTTAAGCGGCGTTTGGAGTAGGCAATTTTAGTGCATATGCGTAACCGAAAAATATTATAATATAAAACATGTATCTAAGGGGACGCCAAATATGAGCAAATGGAGAAAATTTTTCAATAGAATATCGTAAGTAAATAAGATGATTTTCCGTAGGAAATTCACACAATAAGTAAACGTGAAAATATAATTTATTAAAGTTCCAATTATTTTGGTATAGGATGCAAAATATATCCTATAAGCAAAATAAATGTTGTGCCTAACAATACAATTATTTTTCAATAGCTGACAATTTAAAATACTGTAGTGTAATGAAATGCAGTACCTACTTCTCATTGATAATTTACAATAAATAATCCATAAATTAAAATTTTTTGAGATTTTAATACAATATACACCGTATGTCATCAATTTGTTGATATCCATAATAGCTTCATTTTTATTAATTGTTTTAAATTTATTTGTTCAGTTTTAATGATATTTAATGAACTTACTTAATACTTACTTATTTAATTACAGTATCAAAAAAAAAAAAAAAAATGAACCGACGATTTACGTTTTATACATTTTTTAAGTGTTATCAAAATTTAAAGATTGTATGTGTGTTTTTGGGGGGTTTCCTTAATAAATAAAAAGTTCTACTACATATTTTTAAGAAAATTTTATATGTTTCAGTCTCATACCAAATCTATCTTAAGTCATTTTCAGGCCTTAAGTACTATGTCTAAAGAATATTCCAAATAAATTTAGAACTAATTGACTATATTTTAAAAGTATTAGAGCTTATGGTTATGACAGGTATGGGTGTTTATATCGATTTTGAAGGGGAAGGGGTGAACTTTTTAATTGCTGGCCTGATAAAGTACTTTTTAGGTACGACATCTAATCTATAGAGTTGCCACAAGAAGAAATCGATCCAGCAGTTAAAAAGAGATCATGGCGCTAGACACAAAAAACAATTTTTAAACACAGCATTGTAAAAACAATACCTTCTTGGCTTCGCGTCGAAGCTAAAATACTAAGTTTTTGATTCGCTTATAGCTCTAGTTTTATAAATATTATTCAAGTCACGAAATCAGTTTATACTTAATTTGTTGTAGTATTATTTATTTCTAATATGTTATGTAGCTACTTGCGTAAAATTTGATCAGAGCTGAGACTATAATGCAAAGAATTAAACGGCTTACTTTATGTCTGCTATGTTTGTACAACATCTAAAATCGGCGTCGCTAACTTTTACGACTTATGTTGGCCCAACTACGATGGCATTTTAGTTGATAACAATAAAACCTTGTGCTCGCAATAAAAATCAAAACTCAGTTAAAGTAGTTCATGTGAAAAAATTCATTTAGAATTACGAGTTCTATAATATAATTTATATTAATATTCCTGTCGTAGTGCGCAATTCCTAAATGCATTTCCGTAATGTTAACGGACAAGTATAATAATATAAATATAGACAGCTACACACTCGTGTGAAGTTAGTATAGTATATGTTTAGATTTACTATCTAAAAATAATACAACTTGACAACTAATTAAAGTAATTAATTAAATAACTAAATGGTTAATAATTAAGTAAAAACATGTATTTCAAAAATGAACTTTAACAGGAATAATCACATAGAAATACAATGGAGGAAAAATGCAAACCAAACTGAAGATATAATCAGTGTGAATTCAACTGAAATAGAGATGATTTATTGATAAAAGAGAGACAGTTTGAAAGAATTCAAATAGATAGGAACTTGAAGCTGTGTCCTCTGCACATAGTAGATTAAGTAACAAAATTATAATTATTACAATATTTTATTACAGTATACAATGTACATTTATTATCGGTTATTTGTTTCCGTAACGCATTGAAGGCTAAATAAAAAGTAGACTACCTTTAATCTTGAACAAACTTTTTTAAATAAAATTGTGATTTTTAAATTTAAAATTCGGATTTTGTTATATGAATTAAAAATCCAAATTAACGGATAACCCGGAATAATGTCATACCACTAGTTATATTGTATACCTTAGATTACATAGCTCTTTCTTGCTCACAACCATTTTACATAATAAGCAGCTTATCATTTTAATTTTTTCATTAGTAATATTACTATTTTTATTCGTAAAATGTGTTAACGAATAATATTATATTTGAAAGTCGTTAAATGATTATGAAATATCTGCAGATCACGAGGTCACTAACTGAATCTGTATCAAAACAAACTTAGGTTTTCAAGGACCTTGTTAGCGTAGTTAATGGTCGTTGTATAGATTGTCTATGGACGTCATTTTTCGTAATACTCAAAAATAAAATTGTATAAAATAAAAAGAAATATTGGCTGATTACACGTGTTAAATACATTTTTTTAGAGTTATTAGCATATTACACTAAAGTATTTACTTAAGTGTTTATTTTTTGCCCATATTTTTACTAGTTTTGATTAATAATATTGATACTTAATTACCAGTCAAACACATTTTATGTTAAATTCCTTAACGATTGCAAATAAATTAAAATTAAGAAATTTAAGAAATATAAAAAATAAGCCATAACAAGTAATTACAAAAAATATTTAGTATTCGTTCAACTACAATAATTGTAAATCATAATAGCAAAATGATAATCAAATAATAATTTATATGATTAGGTATTATTACTTATATTATATTAATGTATATAGTCAAATTTTAACAATAACCTCTACTTAGTAGTTTCTGGCCCATTTGCTGTAGCATAATAAGAAAGTTAGTAGGGTCTCTTATATCTCTTGTCATCATCAGTTTCTAAAAGCAAGGCCTTGTCGATGATGATGATATCTCTTATATCAGTATATATATATATCATATATAATTGTTATAATTATTGTCAAAGACTATTTCTAATGGACTGTTTTTCTTGTCACGCACGTAAGATGGTTGAAGACGTATTATGAGTATTCCTAAAGTAGTATTAACGTTAAATAAAATACAATTAGCAACCACATTTACAATATATTACGATTCTTTCAAAACCTAAATTCTCTTTACCTAGACAAAAATGTTACACAATTCATTAGCATAGTATTTAATAACCATTTACTTGTTTAATACATATATAATAGTTAATATTTAACAACAAAAATAAGATAATTGTACTATTATTATATAAATTTTTTAAATTAAAATAATAAAAATA